AAGAGAAAAAACATGCATAGTGAAAGCCTGAGTAACTGTGAAAGATCTGATCAACACAGAGGCAGGCAAATTTCCAGCAACTGGACCTCTGCAGCGTCTCCTGCCATGTCCAGCTGCATGTTCCAGTGAGGAGCAGGCACATGGGTCTTTGAGACCAGCATTGCACTCCAGTATGGAAAAGATCCTCAAAGTAAAGGGCTAGAAAGTTGGGAGGCATGCAAAGCCACCAAGAGCTGTTCTGGAGCAAGCAAAACATCTGGGTCCTAGAAAGTGGTGGCACAAATAGTAGAAGCTAAGCAGGAAAGCAGTAGTTGTTCTGTAGCGATGTCCGGCAAGAGCTGGTCATGAAGAAAGAGGAAACAATAACTGTTCTGGACCTTACAGCCTCTTACTGTTGCTAGAACTTGTGGAAACTATCCTTGGTTTATGCTTATCTTTAAAATCCACCCAATCTAAAATACTGATCCTCTCCACAGGCTCTGAGGTGACAGTCTTCAGGACAGTTTCCTGTAATCTTGGGAAAAGTATCAGAGAGGAGCCAAGCTTCACCCATAGTCCTGTAAAGAGCATATCTGCAACTAGAATGCATCTGCATCATCAGGACTGAGACATGAGAGCAGGATTGAGAACCTCCTCTACTCCTGAACCTTGGGCCAAACAAAAGAAAGAAGTCTTTGTCAAAGATACTTGGCAGTAGCCTTGTCTGTCATCATTGTTTTCATTATTCACACATCACAAACCCCCTACTTGCTAAATGAGAAACAGTGAAAACAAGAGCACCAGCCACTCTCAGCACCAAAGTCAATCATTGTTTTCAGGGAACACAAAGGGAAGTTGCACCAAGCATCCAAAGTGGATGATCAGCTTTGGCAAGTTCAGGTACTCCAGAGAAAAACTTACCAGGTCAAATCGCTTCGCAAGTTCCAGGTCATCTTCATTTCTAACCATCTCAAAGAAATCTAAGTGCCTAAGTGAAAACAGAAAAACAAAACAAACAAAACCTGCCAATGGCATAATGAAGGCTTAAACTAAGCATGTCACTACAGAAGCAGCAACACCTTATTTCCAGCTAGAATACTTGGAAATTGGCAAGCCTTTCTTACATGAAGTGCTGGGATGGGTATGCAAGGGAACTAACTCATGGGGGTCAACGACAGGCCAAATGGAATGACTGCCTGGGGTATACATGCTCTTTAATCTTTGTACTAAGTCACTGTGGTGAGATAAGACTGCTAAAAATAAACATAAAATAGGAAAGGGATATTCTATTTGTGACCAATGCAATGCCTGCAGTGATAATGCATTTCTAAAAAGTCCATGCCATACTTGTTAACCAGATACTAGACCATTAATAAATTGTTTCACACGGTGGAGAAGAGATGCATTCAGTGGATTAGTTAAACAGCAGAGCTCACAGCTGTCTTTACATTTGCTTATTGAGGAGCACAGCAGCATGCCTCTGTTGGGATCTGGGAGATCTGGTGAGAGACACATTTGACCATGGCATCTGGACTTCTCTTGCACAGAGACCAGAGTACAGCAGACGATGTGGAGAAAGGCTGTGGCACATCCCCCTGGATAGACCTGGCCCATAGTTTATGTAATCCAGGCATCTAGGATGCTCTCAAAGCTCTGTTACCATTCTCATCACTGTAACGTGTAAGATCCAAAAGTGCCCCTAAGTCCCTCCTAAATGCTCCTGGTTACTGACCAAAGGAGCAGGGATTGCCTATGGGACAGGTTATAATGTCGTAGACCAAATGTAACATTACTGGCCCCAGCTCTGCAGCAAACTATAGACACATACAACTGCATGCAATCTTTCTCCGTAATATTAATACACAGGTATTGAGCCTCCACCTGCTCAAAGATGTGAGGCCACTTTATAACAGGCAGCTGATGCTAAGCTGGTGCTTATGCAGAATCTCATGCACACTACATTTGCCCCCAGGAATAGCTCTATCACTAGAGCAGCTCCTGACAGTGGATGCTTGAGAAAACGGTGCATTGAAAGCTGCAGGCATAGGGCTGATCCATAGGATTTTCACCATGTGATTTGGCAAACTTGACACCTCTTTCTAGGAAATCCCAGATGCCAGATACCTACAAATCAGCCCTGCTCTGTAGGAAGGGGCTTGAAGTAGCAAGCAATAAGGGATAGCAGCACATCAGCTGGTCAATGTCTCTCCACAAAGCTTAACATGGTCACAGGAGAAGGTAGACTCCCACGGCTGCCTGTTCCTACACTTTAAAATGCTTCAGCTTGTTAAGGAAATGGATTTTTCCAGGCTTCTCATTGGTTCATCAGTCTTTTAGCTTCTTGAAGTATCTCAGTCAAATTGTTCAGATTGTTGATTCCAAGTTTATTTCAGCAAGTGGCTTTCAGCATGTGAAGGGTTTGATTTAAGGTCGTTAGCACCTTCAATTATGTGGCAAAATATGGAATTGCTAGTGGAGAAAGCATTTATTATCCATATAACTTTTAACACAGTAATTTGAAGGTGCCATTCAGTGTTACATTTCGTGCAGCAGCAGTGCTGTTCGAAGATGCTCCTCATTCTTCCCTTTTGCCCCTTTGGCGTCTGTACCCCTCCACCCACCACAGGTGCCTCTTCTGTCATAGTTGTGCCAGTGCCACTGTTTGGGAGGGTGTGGTACAAGATAGATCACAAAAAAAGACTGACATTAAAGAAAAACCTTGCAAACTCAGAACCTGCACTTGGACCACACAGACGCAGCCTCAATGAAATAATGAGCTACTGTCTTTCCTCCCTCCTACCAGGACAGGCTTTTGTTCCAGGTTTGCTACAAAAGAAAAGAACTTTTTTTTTTTTTTCATTCTGATTGCCATCCGCAGCTTAGAAGAAAAGCACTTGAGGAACTCCTTGCCACAGCCACTGGCAATTTAGTATGTATTTAGTATAGTTTCCTACTTCATCTGCTGATTTTAATTTTAAGGATAAATCTCCTGTTTGACTTTAAAGGGAGTCAGTTTTAGCAAGAAATAGAGACAGCTTTGTGCTTATATCTGAAACCCAAATGGAGGAGAGTTTCTAAGAACTCTTTCAGTTGACCAATAACTGTTCTCAGAAAACATGTCTTACCTGTCCAGCGTGGCATTTTCATGCCCTCTTAGCTTGTCAATGACAGGTTGAATTCCCAGCATTAGAAACTCATATCGTAGGTGTAATCGGAACTCCAAATTGTCCTGAAAAAGTGAGGGAAAACCAATTAGGTTCCAAAAGCTTTTAATCACATTTTAAAAAAATTACTTAAAACCTCAGTTCTTCCCTTTTTAATATCATCTATCCCAACACCAAATTTCCAGGATGATTAATTCCAGTACAGTAAGTAAAAAAAAAGTAATGCCTTCGGCTCTGTTTCAATTAAAAATACAGTCCTCATTTACCTACAAAGAGTTCTGCATGCCCAGTCAGAAGGACAGCACACTCCATATTGTTCCATAAAGAACAAAAGTTATTGGTGTTTGTCCTGCTCGTCCGTTAGAGATCCACTTTCTGCTTACAGATGAACAGTACTGCAGTCTGCCTCCTAGTTTTTATCTTTATTTGTCATAAAATCACCATATACTTTGGCAAACTTGACACCTATTCAGTGGGATGTTACAGGACTGCCGCAGATAAAGACAAATACATTGCCAGATCGAGCTTTTATGAGTTTGTTGTCTGTTGTGGTTTAACCAAAAAAAGAGAAGCCAATGTAACGAAAGTAACACTTTTAATGAAACAAAATCAGTTTAAACTATCCTCCAGACTCAAAAGAAGGTCCTGTTAATGAAAGAAAAACAACAAACTGTCTTTTCTGAAATGTTGCTTCGACATTCCTGAAGGTAAACAAAAATGTTTTCTAAAAGGCTGAAATCAAGAGGTAAATGCTTTGCAGTTCTTTAAAAAGAAACCAAAAAAACCTGAAGCAATCATTTCAGTGCAACTAGTCTATGTTATATTAGAAAAGACTGGGAATTAGATAACATCAAAGACATTATAAGACTGGTATTAACAACTAAGCATTATTTCCCACAAACTACATCCACACAATAACACAAGATTTGTGGCTTAATCTACTAACCTCTTCTAAGGTAAATGAATTCAAGCATAACATTTGAGAAGGAATTTCCAAGGCAGTGACTCACCTCACCAGCACCAGCATTCAGAACAGCATTGATAAAGGACATGATGGCTGTTTTGAGATTGACTTCATCTCGGTACCGCCCCATGCTTCGGTCTAGCTCGTTCAACAATGTCTGAAACAGAACAGCAGGCTGGGTTAGACGATATAACCTAATTTCTTGCACCATTTTGCATACTGGTAACAGAATACGCACACAGTCTTCTTTTGATTTGCTATATATTTCCTTAAAGAAATAATTTTTTTCAGACAAGGTTGTTAGCAATTTGGGGCATGCCACAATAAACAAATGAAGAACAATGATAGGAATAAAATGCCCACCTGATCCTAATGAAAAAAAAAAAAGTTTTTTTTTAAACAAGCTATTATTTGGAAAAAAAAAAAAACAAACCAAAAACAAAACAGGTGCTCTTCATAGTTCCTGCCAACATAATCTAAGAAAGCAGCAGAATGGTGTCCTTCCTAGTCAGTTAACTCTGTATGGTGAATATGACAGGGTGTTTTTACATACAGAAAAATGGCATCAGATTCATACATCTTTTCTACTCACATTACTCACTCAAGTAATTTTCATTATTTTCTTGGATCTCAGCAGGATAGATTGCACTTATATATACAGGGGGAGAGAATTCTAAAGAGAAGCTCTCTTTTGAGGAATAAAATCATTACGTGAACCTTGGAAGATTTCTCCTTGTCCCTTCACTTACAACTATTTCACATGAAGTAGACAATTACCTACCTCTTGGTAAGCTCCTTTTAGGGATTTGCAAATAACAGGAATATCCCCTGCGCATACAGCTCCAAAGCTCAAAGGTGAATTACACAGCTCCACTGGCAGTGCAGTTAAGCTCCAGTTTCCTTGTTACAGAATCATAGAATGGTTTGGGTTGGAAGACACCTTGACAGGTCATCTGATCCAACCCTCCTGCAAGGGGCAGTGACATCTTTCAACTAGATCAGGTCGCTCAAAGCCCCGTACAGCCTGACCTTGAATGTTTCCAGGGATGGGGCACCTACAACTTCTCTGGGCAACCTGTTCCAGTGCCTCACTACCCTCATCACAAAAAAAAAAATATATCTCTTTCTTTCATCCAATAGAAATCTAGCCTCTTTTAGTTTATAACCATTACCCCTTGTCCTGTCACTAAAGGCCCTGGTAGAAAGCCTTTCTCTGTCTTTCTTATAAGCTCCCTTTATATATTGAAAGGCTGCTATAAGGTCTCCCCAGAGACTGTATGTCTCCCTATTAACCAAATAGCAGGGATATTTAGCATTCAGGGGGTATTTAGCACACAAATGCTTTTGAACTAGTCTTTACATACTTATAGATATTTCATCATAATCTTGTGAACATCAGGAGACAAAGGAAAAAAATGACTAGACTAATAATATTGGTAGTCTGTGCCTTATATGGTCTCTTTAGGATTCATTCCACTTGAATATTTACCGAAGAGGTTATACGTAGAAACTGTTTAGCCATGAGAGCAATTCTACTTTTAGCTTTGTGCTGATGACCAAAAATCTTCAGGATCTTCTCTGATCAGTTCATAATTCCAAGGATGATTTTCCTTACTGGAAGAGTAACAAATTCCATTTGAGATCTGCCAATTCAATTGTATGCATCTCACTCCAGCATTAATAATAAATGCCTACACTTATGTATTTGTTTTGCTGATGCACTAGAAAAGACAGAATTCTCTTTACTCTTCCCAAGAAGTTTTGGCCATAAAGGGAGAATGAAGACAAAAATAACTTTTTAGTGTTCAGCTCAGCAGATTCATATAAATAGTATTTTGAAACTATGATGCTGAGTAAGGAAGTTCATTTTCCTTTAGTCAGTCTACTGTCCCTGGCTACTGAAAGTGTTCATTCATAGCAAAATCTTTCCTGTGCTAGTCATCAGTTTCATAGGTCTATTTTGTTTCCTGTAGAAAATGGACATCACCATGGAGATATGACTGTTCTGGTTTTGGCTGGGATAGAGTTAATTTTCTGCTTAGTACCTGGTACAGTATGTTTTGGTTTAGTGTGAGAATAACATTAACACACTCATGTTTTAGTTGTTGCTAAGTAGCACTTATCCTAAATGAAGGACTTTTCAGTCTCCCATGTTCTGCCAACAAGGAGGTGCGCAAGAAGCTGGGAGGGAGCACGGCCAGGACAGCTGATCCGAACTAGCCAAAGGGATATTCCATATCATAGGATATCATGCTATAGAAACTAGGGGGAGCTGGCTAGGAGGCACGGATTGCTGCTAAGGCATCAGTCAGTGGGTGGTGAGCAGTTACATTGTGCATCACTTGTATTTTCTTGTGTGGTTGTTGTTTTTTTTTTTTTTCCTGTTGTTATCTTCCTTTTCATTACAATTATTATTGTTCTATTTTATTATTATTACTGTTAGTATTATAATTTATTTTACTTTAGTTATTAAACTGTTCTTATCTCAACCCACAAATTTTACTTTTACTCAATTCTCCTCCCTATCCCACTGGGAATGGGGTGGAGTGGGCGAGCAGCTCTGTGCTGCTTAGTTGCTGGCTGGGGTTAAACCATGACAATGCCTCAAGAGACATGAGGAATATCCTCCTGTGCATTCCCCAGAGGAAAGAATACCCTCCTGTCTTCATGTAAACCCTTTGCTTGTTTCTCTGTAAAAATCTTTTGATCTATCATACACTGTTACTGACAGCTCTTCCTATATCTGAGCATAGTATGTTCACTATCAAGCAAGATTAATTTCATAAACTACTTTTTCTTGCATCTTCTAAATTGCCCAGCTGGCACTTGCAAATGTCCCTACTCCTGGCATTTGAACTTCCATCACATCCGTATTTCCCAGTAGTTATATTATGGCCAAATACCAACCCTTCCCCCATTTTGTTTGAAACGGGAATGGGTCTTACATAAAAATACATGAGATGCCCTACTGAGTCAGACTGATGGTCAGTCCAGTCCAGCATCCTATCTCTGACAATGACAAGAGGAGACAATTTTAACGGTCTTGAAATTCACCAACAAACCCAACTCTTCAACTTGTTGAATAAGCAGAATTGGAATAAATGAGAGAATTTAGGTCTGTTACTGTCAGATTGGACACCGAAATCCAAAGTACATGTGTCTTCTTGGAATAATTTAAGCAGCCATTACTAGAGAAGCATCAAAACCAAGGATGGTTTTGCTGCTTTTCTTCAGAGGCCTCATTCCTACCATATATTCTCACAGAGTTCTACGAACATGCTAGACTCTATGCAACAACATATCAGATACAGCATCCAGACAGGTTGAAGGACGTTAACAAAAGTTTTCTATCTCCCATTTCAGAAGGCTGGACTAGGAGCTGAATGCAGTGGGGGCCAAGCTAAATCCAGGACAAGAAAAACAAAAACTCTGGGTTGCACTAGGCTAATTGAAGAGCGGCACATCTTCATGTAATTGCGCAGCTCTAGAAGGAAACAGTATAAATTCATGTAATTCCTAAAGATCAGAGTCTACACCCACACACTGTGGCCAAACTCCAATATCTCTAACCGTTTGCAAATGGCTGCGGTTCAAGTCTTCGCTTGAACATTTCCTGCGAAAAAGATTTCACCACACCTCTTGGCAGCCAGCTTTGTGGCCCAATTGATCTAACGGTTGTAAAGGTTTTTCCTATTATTTAAGCAAAACTTTCCTCACTTAATCCCATTATTCCTCATCACTGACATCCAGTAGGGTTTCATTCAATCTGCAGCAAACCTCAAAAGGCTTTAGATGAGCCCTGAGGGGAAGAAGCAAATCAAGTGGGAATACAGGACTTTAATTTGTTCCTTGTTAGCTCCTCTACAACTCCAAATTGATCAGATTTCTCCCTACAGATTACGGTCTGTACTGACAGTGTTTAACACAAACCAAGCAAGGGGGTTCTGGAAGGAATGGTCTTAATCTCCACCTTTTCAACTGACAATATCAAGCTTCCTTCACTCCTTCACCTCAAGCTTCAAGGTTTCTAGCAGCATTAAGGAGAAAAAAATAAATGTTCTGCCCAAAGCAGCCCTGTTAGTATTTTCATCAGCAAGTGAAATCAGTTCCTTTCAGACAGTATCTTACACCTAGGTTCTCTCAAGACTAAAAGGAAAATTCTTTCTCCCCTCAGAGGTCCCTAGCTGGGTGGGTATTTCAGAGAGCAAACTAGGCTGGAAGGGCACTGGAACATCCTGATATCGTTTTCTGGGCAGGTACAGCATTATGACTTTGCAACGTGGCATTATGACTCAAAACATTGAATGTTAAAAAGTACAGCATGTTACAAGGTCATAACACAATGCATTCACTCCACAGGAGAAATGAGGGAAAGCAGCAAGCATAACACTGATCAGATAGGCAATAACTTAGAGAAGAGTAAGATTGTACCCCTCTCACAAAGGAAACCAGTCATATATAGGAGGATGCAGACATGAATGGCACTGAAATCAGAGACTCTTTAGTTTTCATAACATTTTGGAAACCTCCATCTTCACAAGAAAAGCACCTAAGAAATTAAAGATAAAGCAACGTTTTCATGGTCACACAGTGAGTCAGTGACAAAATTACACTAGTATCAATTTTGAATACTTCAGATGGGAAAGAATCCCAGCAAGGACACCAAGAGCTCTTCTTCCTAATTCCACATTTCTGCTTTGAGGGTTTATTGTCTCACTTTCCAATGTTTTCTTTCATCTCCCTTCTTTAAGGGACAGAGTAGAATTTGTAGGCAAAGAAGCATATTTCAAACAAAAATTGGATGAAGGAAAGACAGAGCTTTTCCAGATTGCCTCGAGAAGGAGACTGAAGGCATGCCTTTATATTATTGTGGTATTGGAGTAAAGATGGAACAGTACTCTGAAGAGGACAGTTTTCAAGGACTATCTTAAAAGAGGAACTGCAGGCTGCCTATTGGACATTAAAGGGAGAATTATTTGAGGCAGAAGGGCAGCAGGAAAGATGAGTCAAAGATTAAAGCAGGCAAAGTGATCAGCTCAGTCAAGAAGCTGCAGCGAATGTGAGAAAATAGAAGTAGCCACAATATAAGTTCAGACACAGAGTATACAATCTTGTTACAAGTGCCAAGACAAAGAGGATCCCAATAGACCTGTGAACACATTGAACAGCAGAGATATAGGGTGAAGTTGTAGTGCTAAAAGGCATTTGAGTGAAGACTGGAGTCTCAACAAAGAAGAGTAAGTCCTGAAGAATCTCCCATAGCTTTCAAGTGACTCCTCTCTGAAGTTAAGGATCAGATTGATAACTGCAGTCAGTAGATGAAATGCTGGTAATTTAGAAAGAAGCAATATCAAAGTTTTACATCAGAGTTTCCACTCAGAGCAAAATACGACATTTTGTTAAGGAAGTAGTTCTTCATATTCATAGAAGTTCTATCTATATTTTCCATTAGCTTCAATTAAAAAAAAAAAAAAAAACAAAACAAAAAACCAACAAAAATGTATCAAAAACCAAGGGCATGCTTTCCAAAATATTTCAGCACAGTTTGATTAGTGGTCTTCAGTTGGTATTGGTCTTCAGCTGGTATGACCTCATGCAATTTAGTTAAATTAATTGGGGTTACAGGTGTTTATATCACTCAGGAATCTCACTGTAATTTGGATTTTGACTTACATAAACCTGTAAGTTTCCTATTCAAGTAGGAGGAGTTATAGCAGGAGAGAGCCAATGCAAGTTTAGCAAGAACCATATCTTGGGTCACAGCTTTCCTTCTCTACTAATTCACCACTTGCTGGGTCCTCTGACTACTTTTGGCTAGCTGTGCCAGGTAGCAAGACCTGTGCTTAGAACACTGACCAGCAATAATGTTTGGCATTCAACAAAAGATACCATGTTTTACGTTACTGTGTTAAATACATGATCTCTACATGACTCCACGACACATGAGCACGTACAAATTGGAAATAACCGGTGTTCAATCTAAAGTTGTCAGCAGCAGGTTATGCATGAGCTCAAGTTTTAGATGGTTGCCAGTAAATAATTCTGAACATCTCCTCCTCCTTCTTACAAAAAGGAGTGGAAGCAGAACCATGCACCCCAAATTTTTATTCTTCACCATGATATTCCTCTGCAAGAAGGCAAAAAAAAGAAAACAACTTCTGTTGCGGAAAAACAGATCTGGAACATTGTTTCTTGCATTTACCTCCTGATTCCTCAAAGTACATGGTGCTGGTCACCACAGATGATCTGGGGAGAGTGGGACACTTAGATTTACTGCAATCTGCAAGAGGGGAAAATAAATCCAAACACATAGTATACAAACAAAGTGCCAGTTTTCATAGATGAGGTTGGATAAATTGACAGTGAGGTGGCTGAAAGGGATGAAGAATATTATTAATCACTCTTGTCAGGAAGGCAACTTAAGGAAGAGCAACAATTGCACTGGTGGTGTCAGAGGCCAGTGTTACCTGTAAATTATTTATTGGACATTCCAATAAAAGTGAGCTCAGTACAGTTTCCAGAAAGCCCTACAATTTTTACTTCACAAGAACTGAGTTGGTTTTCCAAAACTGAGAATCTGAAATTATACTTCTCTTAGGTATGGTGTATCTAATTTGGCCATTGTACTATGGAGCTAGATCTAGAGAAAGACTGAGCAGTGCCTTTACAGTTCCCTGCTTTCCTCCCCCCTGCCCCCTCACTCCCTTAGAATTAGTCTGCAATAATGAACCACAGAGCCAAAGGAATAAATTCCTGCTCTGCACATTTGAAGTATGTTTCTCCTGTTCCTACAGTTTAGTTCATTTTTTATTACTTTTCACAGAAAGAATTCTCGTTTCTTGGTTCTGTCAGATCCCCAGTTGTGAGGGGTCATTTTACACATAACAGTGATTAGGTGTGGTCAGCGAAAGTCAACCTAAAGCTGCAAGCCCTAAACTGTTCAGGCACTTCAATACACTGACTGATGCTGCTAGTTGCTCAAGCTACACATCCCCCCAAAAACACATCCCCTTCGAAATCTGAAGGATCTCTTCAGATATTTGCAAAGTCTGGTTTATAAAGATTACACTCAGGACTAGGATAAAGAAAAAAAAGCTTTTGCCAGCTTTCATTGTGCACCACATCTTTGAAGTTTACAGTAAAGGTATAGGGTAAGCATTGTCAGCTCATCCTTTTCTTAAAATAGCCTCCCATAGTCAAGTTACAATGGCTGCTTCTCTTGATAATGAGCTGCAAGATCGTCTGAGACAAAAGTGTGGGAGGGCAAGAGGCAAAGAGATATAACATTTTCTTAACTGACAAGTGCTAGGGTATCAGAAAAATTTCTACTAAAATGTGAGGAAGACCATGACCACATTTGTTTCATCAGCATTTAAGAAATCCCCAGTATCTCTGTTAGAAAAAAATGACTGAAGATGGATGAGGAATGTGTTTGGATGAATCCTGACCTCCTCAAAATTAAACTGAAGCTGTTGCTTTATGCAGTGGAAAATCCCATTCCAGCATCTAGACACAAGCATTAGAGATTGCAAACAAGAACACATCCTTTCTGGTAAATCGTTTTGGGTTTTGTTTTGTTTAAGAAAGAAAAAAGAGAGAGTATCCATTTATCTTTAATTTTTTCCCCAATCAACATCATTTCGACAAAAGCAAGCATTTATGCAAGCTGCTCATTCATGAATGAACGTGAGAGTTGGTAAGCATCTGCAAATCATTACACCAGATTCCTCAAAAACTCACAAGAAGACCTGTGCCACCACACTTTGCCCACCAATGACTTACCTCAGTTATTCAATACATTTTAAAACAATTAGAAAAAAAAAAAAAGCAAGCACCCAAATAGGAGACATCGAGTAAACTCAGCATCTATCTCCCATATGGGATTATTAAGCAGAGGCACTTGGTCACATAAGGATAAGTTAACACAGGACCATAAGTATTGTCAGGGCTGTGAGTTACCACTGCTTTTTGCGGAGCAACTAAGGTTCTGCCCGCCTGTCTCCAAGGTATACAAGAATGTCAAATTAGTTCAGGAAGGAATCTCCATTTCAGCTAATTACTAGAGAGAAAGCTGGATGGGGCAGTGCACATAGAGGGGTGGACCTGCCAATGCCACATATAGGTTAATACCAACCCAAGGTCTCCTGCATCCCAGTCTCAGGTCTGAGTCACAGTCTGTGAATCCCATAGTACATTCAATCTTAACAACAAACACAGGCAGCTACTGTTCATGAGCACAGACTGTTTCCCCATTCACTTTTACAGTCATAGGTCATTGTAGCCCCAAATCCACTGATGCGTTAGCTGGGGAGGAGGCAGGAGCTAATGGCTGACAGAAACCAAGATCCAGAGTCTGTTGGCCCACCGCCAGCCTTATTATTTCACCTAAGAACAAATAGTAAATGGGTGAGCTTATCTCAAAGTTTAGGAGCTACAGCTTCATATACAGCAACAGATTCTGTTATATCTTTTTGTAAAGTTCACTAGAAAGAGGAATATTATAATAGCAGCCAGCAGTATCCACAATAAAAGCCTGTCAATGATCTACTGACCTACCTCAGTGTCTGAGCCTGAGTTTCCCGTTTGTGTTCTGAATGGGATATACCTGAGCCAACAATTGCTAAATGGTGATGACTCACAAGTTGATTGCTAAATGGCAACTGAAGTGCTTCCACTGTCATTTAATCCACTGTCTCCATTATTTAGTTCACAACTTTTTTATTACTAATTTAAGGGCTTTAAAATCAGGACAGATGCTGCTGGAATTTTGTGGCTTCGGCTTCTAGGGTAGAATGAATGATTACCACCCCAGAAATACCATCAGGTTAGAGTATGAACAGATTAGCAGCTTTCATTTAACATAGCAAACCCACATTTTAAGGTAAAATATAGATTTTAAATTAGAATTAGTGACAAGCAATCAGGTCTTGAAAAAAATATATATGTGCTGATAATCCATTTGAGGAAATGCCCTTCCTAAAACAAAATGAGAGATATTGCCTTTTTACTACCTAGCAAGTTTGCAATACATGCACTGTAAAAATCACTCCCTGTAGAGATTCATCACACTGGATATTTCTGGTAAAGTTTCCTCCTTGTACCTGGAATCTTGTCCTTTCTGCAGCATAAACTTGATAGTGAAGCATGGCTTGCAAGACTTTCTTGTGACCATCTGGTACCAAGCAGACAGCTCCTAGGATCTCCAGCACGGCAATCTTGGTCTTAATGTTCTCAGTCCGTAAGCTCTGGGAGATGATGTTGATACTCTCTGGATGAGCCAGGACATGCGCCCGTCCTTGGGAGTTGTTCATCAGTGCCTTGATACACCCTATAACGGATGTGTGTATACGACTCTCTGAGGTCTCATAGTCCATGCTCTTCAGGAAGTTCAGCAAACAGCTCAGGCCATCCAGCTCAATAAACCTGGTTACAAATCTGAAAAAAAAAGAACAGGTAGGAAAAATAAGGAAAGTAGACCAAAACCAATTTATTCAAAAGATACCATATTATCCAACCTTGTACCTGTATAATCGGGCTAGTTTTTAGCCTAAAGTTCACAGAAAAATTCGCAAGTATTTAAGGAAAACAAAACAAAACAAACAAACCCAACAAAAAAAGAGAGAAAACAGACTTGCTAATACCAGTGTGTCACGTAGTTTCAGGGTAGTTATATTCTATCACCTTATGACCCTACTGTTTGGTCGCTGTGATCTTTGTTGCAGTTACCACCAAATGTCTGCTGTGGTCCACCCCAATAGTTGCTGCATTTTCAAGGCTGAATAGATTATTTCAAATTGAAATCTATTCCAAAACAGATTATATTCAAATCTTACATACATGCTAATACACACAAGCTACATTTTCATACAGACTCATCACCACACTTTTAATTATGAGTTCAGATTATCTTGAAAACTGTTTTTAAACTTAGGTCAAACTTCTAGCCAATGCTACTTATAGGCTGCCACCTCCAGGAGTGGGTACTCTGACAGAGGCAAACTCATCACCACTGTGTCTCTCAGCTGTACTGACTTCACACTCTGATCCCATGAAATGCATATAGGAACATATAAAGTTAAAGTTTAGAAGGTGCATATTCTTCAGAAAAAGGCAAATCTATAATGGCCTTGGCTGCATTTTTTTGGTTTGACTGTTTGTTTTTCGTTTGAGAAGGTGTATTAAGGATGGAACAAGTCCACTGTCAACATGCAGTAGCAAAATGTATGGTAAAAACATCATAAATAGAGGAAATACAGAATTAATCTGTTACCAAATGATACATTGAAGACTGAACCTATAGTTGGACAGGTCTATTTTGACTATTGATGTCACTAGAGTTCTGCTTCTACTGTATTCTACCATAAAATTTGCCTTTCTTCAGGTTAAGATTGTGGAAATTGAGGATGAAAACAAGACAGAAGAAAGTCCTTGGAAAAGTTTAAGGGTTTGTTGAAAACCCGGGTTAAAAAATCCAGATGGGTCAAATTAGACCACGCAGACAGCCTCCTAGACAAATCAATAGAAATGAATGGAATTATGTAAATCAGCTTGAATCAATCATTCTAGCTATGTTTCATTTAGAATTCCCAGGCTTTAAAACGGGGATTCAAAGATATGAGAAGGGCTGCAAATAATTTCTCTAGATCACTTTGTTTACCTCCTGCCTCCTTTAACAGGTCGTTCAGGTAGGTGCACTTTTTCATAACGTCTGAATGCAAACCTATGTGAATTACATTTGAATTTTTGGTCTACCAAAATATATACCAACAATAATATGTTCATGATCTTGCTCTAAACAGAATAAAATAGCAAGACACCTCAAACAAATGAAAAGGTTCTTAACAATTGCCATCTGTGTAACAAATTAAGAATATCAAAAGTCTATGTCATTTTGCTTTTACCCAGCCCCTCTTCCTCCCTGTTGGATATTTTCTAATGTGCTGTCTTTCTCTTTTCTGTCCTTAAGTGAGATGCTGTTCCTAATATGCATCAGTAACGGAAGCACCATACTGAAAGACTGAATTTCACTGGTCTCTGTTCATGTCTCTGCACCAGCAAGACAAACCTGAGACATACTTCTGTATCTCCTGGATAATATAGACTTGACATATGTATGGTCTTCTGGTGGTTACACCCCACACCACACAGGAATTTTCAGGGCCTACCTGAAATTTATGCTCACTATGCTGATGGATTTGCCAACTTTTAGCTTGTTTGGGCCAGCAGTTTGACCACAAACATGGCAAAGCCTGGTGCTTTCAACAAAGTTTCAGTCTGAGGTTTGAGTTTTGTTCAAAAATGAATTTCAAAGTGAATATCAGAGTAAGGGCAAGCACACACAGGAACACATGCACACCAAAAATGAAAACAAGGTTTAGTTGAACCCTGCTAAGACAATCTGCCAAGTTTCACACAGATCTGATTGCACATTCTTTGGATGCATCATCTTGTCTACGCTAACAAATCATAGGAGCAAAAGCCCCACTGCCTCCAGGCCAGAGAGTGGGATCAACATTGTGCACCAGGAATTTGGTAAGTCATTCAAAGCAGTTTGTTATTTAAACTGATTATAGAAAGATTAAAACTTAGTTCAGGTTTTGTAATGCATTTAGCTGCTAGCGTGCCAAAGAAGACTGAAATAAGTGTATTCATGGCTAAAAGAGTTTCCGCTAAGGATGTATTTGGAATCAAAGTAAGCACAAACTCAACTTGTTACCAAACAATGTCATGCCCACAACTTCTGAGCATTTCTCTAACCCTAGGCCTACTGAGTGGACTTGCTCTTTGCCTCTAGGGGCAAGTTTAGGAAGGACTAGTTTAAATTCTTCTCTTCACCTCCAAAGTTCAGTTTTACAAATTGACCCTATACCTTAGCTGTTCCCTCCACCTTTTAGCGGAGAGAAAAAAAAAAGGGGGGAGGGGGAGATGATTTTTTGCTATTCTTTTCAGTTCCAGGGCTGAGGGAAGAATTAAGATGGACACCTTTAGCCTTACCAACAAAAGAGAACATCCTGGAGAAGCAGCTGAACAAAGTGTTCCTTAAACATACTTTCCGATGGAACACCTGGTCTTATGACAAGACTTACAAGGCACTACAACCTTCATGTATTTTAGCCTGCTTTGATGACCGCATGAAAAAAAATGGTAAATGCACAAAAGTCATATTGTCCCAATTAAGTACAATCTCTTACTAAATTCACTGGCAGAGCAATTTTTCTAGGACTGTTTGGATGAGGTCATTCCAAAAAAGAGGCATGCGCAGGAAAGTGGTGTGTGTTACAGACCTTGATTAATGACATAATTTAAAACAATGTTGGGATTTTCCTGTACTCTTCCTAGTCCAGAGAGCAAACAGTAAGCTGCATTACTCAATAGGAAGCAAAACCAAGTACCTTCCCACTTCACCTGACGTCAGAAGCAGGAATCAAATGATGCTTTTCACCTTCCTTTTCCAAAACACTTAGTTCCCTATTCTCCGGAAAAGCCAGAAATCACACACAAGGGAGATAAAGAAATGGCAATAGCAGTTTCTGGACCAACAGACACTCTCAGTGTGAGAATTTGCTCCGTGTGGGGAGGTATGTATGTAAATGTCTGTACAGGAGAGAAAAAGAAATGGGAGTTTAGCTGACAGGCTGACAGCCATAATCCTCACATTGTTTGGTATTTGCGCATCTGTATATCTGTAAGCAGGGATGTGTGTGTGTGTGTGTGTGTATGTGCAAAAGCAAACCTAACTCATACAAATAAAGTACCTTCTTCCTCACTGTATACACATGTGTAACTAACTGCCATTCTGTATATCCTGCATGCTGCAAAGTAAGATTCTGTTCTAGACTGGAAGGTGTAAAGTTAAGTGTATTTGCCAATGCATTCTGGCTAACACATTCAAAAACTCAAGTGCAAATAAAGCAGGGTGTGTTTTAATAGGTGCTAAACAAGCAAATTAAAGCCTAACCTCACCTCAGACTCTCACTTGACCAGTTTAGCACACTTTAAAAGGCAGGGCGCCTCTTAGCCTTTCAAGTTTTAGAGAGTGCTGATCAGAATGAGTTAGCTAGCTCTAAGAACAAACCTTTCATCCAAATACAGATGTGGTGGCCTAAGAGGTAATGACCCACTGATGGATTCCAAGTGTGGGGGGACAGCCTTGCTGTGAGACTTGATCCAGCTCAGGAAAGACAGAAAGATCATATGCTGTGGGTGTGCAGAGAGCAGGATATTCCCACCCTGTTAACAGCCAAGGCTACACTTCCCTGCAGCATCAGGTTTTGAATCAGGGGGCACACATAATCCTGACAACTACTGAACTGCTGAAAAAGTCAGCAAAACGGATTTTGCTTGCTGGATGCATAAATGATCATCTCCAGTATGCAGCTGAATGCAGCATGGCTAAATCAAACAAAAAGTAACCGGAGGTAAATCTGAATTAAACAAAAGGAGAAAAGCAGACAGCAAAGGGAGTTAGTGATGATTCAGACTAAAGGATGTATTTTTCTGGAGTTACAAAAAGTGATTCTTTTTCTAGTCTCTTGTGAGTTTTTACTTCTGCTGCACTTCTGAACCTCCATTTTCGGGCATTAAATTATGAAAAAAAAGCTCTTCTCTCACTGCTTCTGTCCAACAGTTTGTCATCACACTTGTTTATAGTCATATATTCTTACAAACCTAAAAGAAAATGTGTTTCCTTACAAGATGCAGATGTGAGTTTTTTGTTCTCTGAGGCTGGGGTTGTTCCTGCGTGCTGGGACATAACCTGGCTTTATTATTTCAGGGCAGCTCCTAAATACCAAAATAAAACCCACTTGCTCAAATGGGGGCAACTAGCTGCCGAGGCATGCTTCTATCACGTTTTCCCCAAAGAAGAGAGGAACTTAAGTCTGGGTAGGTCTGCTTCAGTGTTTGTCACTGTTAGAGCTGGTGGGTTGGAATAGAGGCACAGATGAGTACCATTACTCTGCATTTTCTACTAGAAGAGACACGGTTCTACAGTAAAATAAAACAGAGAGCCAAACACATGCATTTTCCTTCTTTTGATTCCTCTAGATCAGAGAATTCAAGCAGAGGAGCCTATTGATAAACTGTCAGAGGCCCTGTGTACCCTACCATCACAAATGGATTCCAGTCAGTCCATCCTACGTGAATTTAGGTCTCTATTTTCTTCAGAGGCCCGATGAACAGAAGTGGCAAGGAAAATAGGATTTGATGTCCAAATTCTACTAGAAAGACTAGTATTTTGAAGGCTTGGGTATCGTACTGCTTATGAGAGGGATTTGATGGAGCTGAGGGCCTCTCTACTGCAACCTTTCCATCAAGAAGAAATTGGCTTGTTGATCAGGCATTGGCATGCAGCCCATTTGGCAGCTAACGAATTGAGTCGCTGGAAATTAGTTGAGACATAGGACTTAGCTCAAAATTTGGCTTAGCTTAACTATTTTAAAAAAAAAAAAGCCCCATAACCATCGCCAGCGATTTAGAAGAGAACACTTTATAGAGCAGCTCATAGATGCTTGTACTGAAGCTTGTTAGGGTTATTATAAACAGATGAAGCAACAGGCTGTTGTCAAGGGGATCCAGCAGAAGCAATATAGGTCTGAGAAGGAAAACCTTGCAAGGCTTTGCGTAAAAGACATTTATCTTTTTTTCTCTATTGCCTTGCTCTCAACAAGAAGGCCAAGCTGTCCTATTCAAAATGACAGAGCAGAACAACCAACGGTGGCCACCAAAGTGTTCCAACTGGACATAGCAGAGAGGCCTTGCTGCTGTGACTAAGCTCAATGGAAGCTATCACTTTCACAGAGTAAGCATCAAACCAGCTCCACTTTATTATAATAGAGATGCTACATCAAGTCTCAACAGCACAGGACTTTGATTTAAAATCCTTGTGAGAGTTGGGAGTTTGGCACTTGTCTTAGCTTCCATTTTAACATAAACTCCAGCTGCATTTTACTGTGTTCTCTGCTTTAGGACACTGATAGACAGGACCAAACAGTCACTTATCCCCTTGGCCGAGGTCTCAATACAGGCCACAGTTTCTCCACTTCCATGTTAAAAGAACTCACCTTACCCACATGCTAAAGTTACCAAAGCCTGATGAATCTGTATGCCTCAGAGGAGCATCAGAATGTGGCTTTATGCTCTCTTACAGCCCATCACAACAGGATGTAAAAAACTGTGGTTTAAGCTGATGTGTTCTACCTCACACTTGCCATGAGGTGAGAAGCTGCATGCACTCAACTCTTTAAACACCACGAAAGGGAGAAGCACAATCAGCACTTCGCTCTACAAGAAGGCCCGGAAATATCTTCTCTTCAAGTCAATGTAACTGTAATGCAAATTCTTTGAGATATTTTTTGGGTTGTTTTTATTTATCTATTTAGTTGATTGGTTTGGTTTGGTTAGGTTGCCTCCCAAAAACACCTCCTGTTTGCTTCGGCATTACTCAAGCTCTCTGAAACTATGACTTCAGCATAGTGTGGTTACAAATGCATTTTGCCTATTTTGGGCCCAATACAAAGACATTCAGAAAATTTTTTAGTGTTTCCTGAGATCATATCAGCTATAGTCACTGCTTCTGCACAATGCTCTTCTAAGTCTTAAATGGAAAACGTTTCCATGCTAGTTAGTTTGCTATTGTTCAGAGTTTTGTTCCTAGAAAAATAAAGATGACCTTACCTTCAAAGACAGAGTACACAATGAAGTCTCTTAACATTTCTCTCTGTCGCAGTTACACATAGAACAGGAAGAATGCCAAACCAGGTGATGTCAGATGGATGAGCTGCTTTGTACCAAACAGTTCACATTACTAAAGATAAGGGGAACCTTGAATTCAAAGTTCAGAGTAAAGGCTGAGATTTTGCCCAACATGAATCAAACTACATGGGATGTTCAGGGGGCTATGAAGTCTAAAATCTGATCTTCATAGTCATTACCTGTGTATGCACATATCTGCCACAGGTTTTTCACAGCAGACTTTGTCTTTCATTTTCCTGAAGCGACACACTTCAGCATTAGTGTGCCCCCCCAACTAGGCAGGTTCAGACCAGGGACTATGGCTCTCTGTGGATTGTCTGAAATATCAGAGAGGCTTGTGTGAGGTGAGACAATGAGGTTTCTGTCCTTCCCACTCTTTTCCATGTCATATCTGACCATAGGGAGGCAGTGAATTGTGATGAAAGATGAACAACATTACCTCATGGGTTGAGTCCGCAGAGCTGTCTTCAAGTCTTCAACTATTTTATTTTTCATTTCTGTTTCTTCTTCATCGAAAGCATACAGAGTCTGCATCTGTTCAGAAAAGAAGATGACAATCAGGAAAGCTCAGGCTGCCTGGAAGCTAAAAGACAGGCTGGGAATTATGAAAAACAACTATCCCATCAACCCACGCAGAGGTGCCGGCCGACCTCTCACCAGGAAAGCAGGGCCTTAGCTACAAAACTGAATCCAGATGAGGTTGCTTATGCAGACTGGCAGCAGCATACCGCTTTGCCACATCGGCTAAACGAGGGTTCTCAGATTACCCCCCAAAAATCATACTTGACAGTATACCCTCAGAAAACTGTACCTAATTTGGAACAGTGATCTGCTGTGGTGATGTATGGACATGTGAGGCAAAGTTTCTAGGGAGAGGTAATATCTTTTGTTAGACTGACATGGCTGGAGGGATATAGGTGGAAAAAACGAAGAAAAAAAAAAATCCCAGACTTGTGTGTCAGGTTTCAAAGCATAAAAGCTTTTTCTTCAAGTAACTAAACAGCCTGCAAGTACCCTGAATTACAGTTTGTGTACATACAAATTTAACATTTTTTCTCCATGCTGAGTGCATTGCCTGTTTTAAGATACTGACTTTCCCTATGCACTTTGCCCTTGCTAATTAGGAACATTCACTGCAAAAAGCCAGAGCATCATAAAATCCCTGTCCCTGTTTTTTAACAAGTAAACCGAAGCACACGAAGACTAGATTTCCCCCCCAGTATGCAGCTTGAGATAACTGGACCTTGCAGTCACCCGGAACTGAAGATGCTGTAGGTCACTATAAATTAGGGTGAGAGACAATGAATGGAATACATGCAAAAAATAAGGTTCTCAAAGTCAGACAATGCCATTAAAAAAGTGGTATATCAGGAAATCAGGGTTCCAGATCTACACTCAACACCGCTGCAACCTTGTGATGTGAAGCAAGACTCTTCAGTGCCCATTGCATATACCATTCAGGCTCACAACTTCAATGTGTGACTTTTAAAAAAGTCAAGACACAGTGCTTGAAATTCTTAGCCTATAGCTATGGCTTCTTAGTCACTTTAATTGTAAAATAGAGAGGATAAATGACTCTCATTGGCAGGACTTCTCGGGGATATCACTCAGTGGTATCTAGAAAGCAGCTCTGAACCCCTTCTCAAATGAATAACCCGATTAAACTAGTATCATCTATCAGGGATCTGATATTACACCTCTCTGTGGTGCAACCTGAGTAGCTACGATTATGGCCCATTACAGCAAAATATTTAAGTCTTTATTTGACTGTTTAGCAAGCACCAAAGAAAACCTTCCTCTTACTGGAACTTCCTTTAACCCTTCCCCCCTGCACCAGCCCAACACCCCGCTTCCCTTGGAAGTGCTCCCATGTCGCTCGCTTTTGCAAACCATGTGGTGCCAACACATGTCAGATCCTGAGGGTGGTCATTTGGCTATGTGCCGTTGCTGTCTTATGCTGAACAGCTGGCACAGGGAGATGTGTTTAACTCTAGGGGTCCTCTCTCTGATCCACGCTAAAGTCAAATTCACTCAGTAACAGAGCAAGCTATTTCCTGCCCTAATGGAATGACAGAGCGCTACTGATGGAAAATGAGCTGATGATGTTTTATCTTCTGCCAGCATCCCCCGACAGCCAGAAACATAAATTGAAATGCTTAAGCCAAGCCATATACGATCCCCCTCTTTGAAAAATAAACAGAAATCCTGAACAGGCATTATGGAATCTCAATGGCAGAGTCCTGGGGTGTGATTTGGGGTTCGATTTGTATTTTCTTGGGTGACAGCCCATCTGGTCATCTTTCCTTTGGCCCATAAAATGCTCCTTTGAAAGGCTCCCATTCCTTCAACGGCTTAATTTCTCCTCTGAGCCATTGTGGGGGGAAAGCAAATGGATGGTAGGAAGGTGCTCAACAGTATTTTGTTCAGAGTGAAAAAGGCCCATTTCCAAATGAAACAAATACAAATAATCCTGCCTTTACAACAGAGGGTGATTATAGAAAACCCCTTTTCTAAAGCTGCAGGCAGCCAAGAGCCCTTCATTTCTCACTCCTGTGCACAGCCAGGAACTCAGATCCTCATGCCCTCTCTAAAGACAGACTGGTCACGCGTTTGCATTATGAAATAACTTTCTCGGCAAGAGCTATAGAAAACATAACGGTCCCTGGGAGACAGACAGGAGGGAACTGTCATTATTTGAGGCTGGATTTCATTAATATGGCTGACTGATTAATTGTTTTCTTGAACTACAAACTGTACTCGAGGACTAATGTCTGCTGTGCTGGGGATGCAGCTAGTTACTATCAGTTAACCAAACATACTAGGAAGAGGAAGCAACACACTGCCAGGTCCTTACCCACTCTCTAAAACGTGGTATACATAAGGCTCTTTTTTACAGGCACATTTTGCATATTTAAAGTTTTCCAGATTAAGCACATCACCCCGGAAAGTATAGCATCTAGTCACTTGATTTGCCAATTTGAAAAAAATTCCCAAATTTATGAAAACAATCTTTCACATGGAATTTTATGAGTAAAACTTCAGGTAGTTCAAGAAATTTTGAAAATTTGGCTCCATTTAAAATGAAATATCTTAGCTTTTTTAAAAGCACGGATTAATTCCCACACCTTATCGTAATTGCTAATCATTCCTCTAAACTGCTAGGAAGGAAGATACAAGACCATAATGACAGTATGCGTGAGATAGAAAAAAAGAAAAAAGAAAAAAAAGGGCATGAACTAGCATCAGCAATACACTGTATGATGGACCTAGTTTACCTTAACAGTCTGATGCAAATGAAATGAAAATAAAAAAGCAGCAAATAAATAGTGAAAAAGCAACCTGGATGTTCTGATTTCTCATTATAGTCCAAGCTCTTTCTTTAGATCTTGTCCAAAATCCTAACTAACAAAATGTTATCATTATTGAAATCACTTCCAGTTCATAAACAAATACAAGTAAAAGTAAAATCAAAATGTGATAAAAACCTATTGTATCGCATGCCTCATGACATATCTGGACAATACTACTTTAAAACATTCCTTCAAAGAAAATAAGTCGGTTGAAATCCAAGGTGCACCACATCTCTGACTACATTAAGGCTGAACTAAGAGACTAAACTATGAATCATAAACTATGAATAGATGTAATTTAAACAACCTGAACTTTTAAGCAAATAAGTTTAAAGTAACATAGATGTGGCCTAACCCAGAGGGAGGACAGAGTTATCATCCACCTGCTAAATTCTACTGAAAGATATATGTTTTTAACATCTGTGAAGCTGCTCTGCCCTGAACAAATGCTTTCTGAGTCAAGGAAAAGGGCCTGGTTCCAGCTGTATTTACTAATCTTGACCCCTGTCTCACACTCTCGACTGAGCCATCTCTCCTGAAAAGCTGGATCTGCAACTACCGTTCACCTGCAAGTCTCTCTGTGGAAATGCATACACAGCCAAGCTCATAAAAGGAACAGAGTGCTGTCAGAAGTTTGCCTCCCCAGTAAAGTGAGGGCCGTGTTTATTTGTGCTGCCAAGCAGACAGTATCAAGGGGTGAGCAGGGCAGGAGGAGCACAGGGAGGTTTCTTTACACATGATATTAACCACAGGGCAGCTGCTCCATTTTTAAGAAAAGAGGTTTTGTGTGTTGATGAATTGGCAGAAGTCGACAATAACCTTGATAATGAAAATGGTCTGTAATTGTGGGCATGCAACCTGCCCACAGTCACCAGTATTATTTATAGCATGTAGACATCAGAGGACTGGGCAAATTTGGAGGTTCCTCTTTCTAAATTAGACATCATTCGCAGCTGTCCCTTTCTCTTAAGGACTGGTCTAGAAGACAATCATCTGCTTGGCCCCTTCCTTCCAGTCAGGCTACCTGAAGGATGGAACAGTCCCTCCACAGGAATCACACACTACAGACTGGTAAAAAGATCCAGTTTTACTGTCACACGCTCTTGTGAGAATTGGATTTAAAAACTGTTAAAATCCAAAAAGTGAGAGCAACAGAAAAAATTGTGGGAACTGGACTGTGCCTAAAATGCATGGCTTTTTGAACTGGATCAGGAATCTGTGACCTAAAGTGCTTCCTAACATAGTGGTCTAAGGTTACAAGTAGGGAATGTCAAACATGTCAGGAATCACCACTTTGCTCTCAAGCATAATCTATGAGGGGCAAATACGATGGGCGACACTGACACGGGTCTTCTGAGAAAATGATCCTTGAACACAGGGGCCTTGGCCTGCTGAAATCCACAGAAGGATATTTAATGATCTCAGCAGAATATAGGTGCCATTTCCGTTTTACCAGCTGGTAGGACGAACTTTTTTTGCCAAGCTAATATATAAAAAAGAACTTAATAATTAAACAAAAGAATGTAGAAAAAGATGTGAAAGCCACATGTAAAAAGATTCTTATGCAGTTAATTCACAGGAGATGCAAAGATTATATTTTATTAAAAAAACAGGATGTAAGGCATTTTAAACTAACATTTCTGTGATTATTGCTACCATTTCAGCCCTCATACTTATTGCAGTATTTCTAATTAAAATATTGCAATACCTGATAGTGCCCAAGAGACAGAAACTGCAATAGACTAGACAGTGTCAGGAAGCAACACGAAACATGTTTTCCTTTCACCACTTCTGAGCCAACTCTACTTGGATGTGGTTTAAAAAAAAAATAATTAAAAAATCCCAGCACTAAATTTAGGACTGAAATTGTAAGGGACCCCAAATAACTGTTTGGAAGTTAAGAATCTCAGAGGTCTAAATAATAATGAATAGAACATGTCTTTTAAAGTGTGTTGGAGCTGGTTCTCAGCTGTATTACTCCAGTTTTCCACTGATACAATTCCTGTGAAATCAAGTCAACTAAGTTTCACCTGCCTAAAAGTGAAGCAACTAAGTGGTAAATCAGAAGCAGAGGTTTTAACCTCAGTGTGTCTTCTCAACACTTCAAGCATTAGAGTAAATCATGAGGCCTGAAGCCAAATAAAATGTTATCAATCATTCAGTGCTGAGGCATGCAAACAACATTACCAGGGCTGGTGTTTATTGGTGCTCTTAAAACATGTTTAAAATTAGAAATATAGGCCAAAGTATAGTCTCATTGCATGGAACCACTCCAAATTTACAATAGTGGTGTGTACATATTCACTCCAGGTTTACATCAAGATCATTTAAAGACTAATCCAAAAGTCACTGAAATCAACGGAAAAATTTTCAGTAGATTCAAGAGGCCTTGGATCAAATCCTACCAGAAGTATTTGGCTCAGCGACATTGCGAGGTTTCATACTTTTTTTTTTCCTTAATGGCCCTTGTAGAGCAAATTTGTTCAGTCAGGAAATCAAAGCCAGTGCCATACCAGTCACAAAAGCTCAATCTCTTTTCTCAAAACAAGTCCATATTCTTTCTATTGCATTACTCTGTCCCAAGAAAATCTGGCATGAAGGAAGGTGATTATTTTATTTACTCATGAATCACAGTAGAAAGCAGCTTTTCTTTTATCCTTTTACAGTGAGTTATAATAACTTGTAAATCTTGATTTTTTATTTTTTACTGAGGAAGACATATTTCACTATAAGAAATTCATCAGTATTGACACATTTAGCATCCTTTAAGGTACTATTTTTATGACATTATTTTATAGCTTATAACCACAAAACAAAAGGTGCAGAGAAGCCTTTAGAAATCAAACAGAAAAGCATAAGTAAACAAACAAGGTGCGCTGCCTAATGTGCTAGGAACAGAATTCTGTCATCACTTCTGCACAACTGCCAAAAAAAGCTGAGTAGACATTGTACATGAATAACTGGAGGCAACATTTTACTAAAAAAGTCAGTAAAAGGATCAAATTTCAAAATATGAGATCTGCTATATCAAAGGAGATCAGCAGACACTGTATGCAGGTGTTCTGCTTCTGCTGATGACCAGCTCTACTGGGTGCTTCAGAGGAAGAGACATATTATACAGCTATTGAGCAAGGACAATTAAAAACATTTTTCCTCAAATATCTTGTTGGCTTGTATTTGATGTCTAAGGTGTTACAGTCTTATGTTCCTCTATTTATGTGCTCTTATATAAGTGGATTTTATCTTACATAAACAACTACCTTTTCTTTAATTCTTCTACTAAACTAATAACTCCAGTGTTATTTTGTAGATTAGTTAGAAATCAATTTGAAAGCACAAAACAAAACAAAACTTAACCTACTTTTCAAATAATTTCCTTTTTGATTCATCAAATATTCTCCTGAATTTTCATTCCAGAATCTAATTTGATTGCATTGAGTGCTCAGCATTGTACAAATAAAAACTGGAACTGCTTATGTACTTTCTAATCTATTCTTCCGCTAGAGCAGGGCTCGCTCTTAGTACACATACTCGTCTTCTTTCAGAAGTCCTATTTTAAATCAGTCATGCATTTGGGCTAACTTTCTTCTCCTTTGGGGACTTCCTCCTAAAGGAACACATCTCTATGGTAGGCAATCTTCCCTGCTTTGCAGAAGAGGTAACTTACTGCTGCCATGGAATTGATGCGGTCAATGTAGTAATCTGGCCAGCTGGTAGCAAGCTTATTAGGGTCTTCTTGTTCCTGAAACAGAAAGTAAAACAAGGTTACACAAGGAAACTTTACAGGATGAAACATCACTGTAGAGCCACCTGGGTTTCTTCACTGCGCTGCTTTTTATTGTGGTATTCCCTCCATATTCTCCTATAATGCACATAGGTGTGTGGCATTTATTACAAACTTTTCTGAAAGTGTAATGTTAGCACTGTTGCCATGGTGTGTCAGATAAAAAGAATCCCCTTCAGCTAAGGTTATTAAACACAGGATAATAAAGTTTGATGGAGGCACAGTTATCTTTGGCATCTAAGCAGCAAACTTCAGTCCCTTAAACATACTACTTTTCCAAGTAGAAGGATAACCCATTTACAGATAACAGGTTTACATTTTGTAGCTTTATATTGACAGATCTTATAAATTATTTTGCCTCTCTAATGCTAGAGCAATGCTGGGATTCACTAACAGAGAGGTTTAACATCTGCTACGGAGGAAAAAAAATATCAAGTCAAGGAACCTGAAAAGAAGCCTAAAGACTGCCTCATTTTGACATGATAACCTCAAAAGAGGTTTAGACTGGACATTAGGAAGAATTTCTTTACTGAGAGGGTGGTCAAACACTGGAACAGACTTCCTAGAGAAGTAGTCAATGCCCCAAGCCTGTCAGTCTCTGAGAGGCATTCAGACAATGCCCTTAATAAGATGCTTTAGCTTTTGGTCAGCCCTGAAGTGGTCAGGCAGTTGGACTAGATGATAATTGTAGGTCTTTTCCAACTCAAATATTCTATTCTATTCTAAAAAGTTAAGCACAACCTCAGAACGTCTGAAGGAATAGAACAGCATCCCCTCAATTACAGTATTAATCCTTCTATCCCTACCTCCCATATAATCCACCTGAAATCATCTCCACTAGATGAACCTTAACCAAGATCAACTTCTAAAAGAAGATCTGCCCCTACTCAGGCATCAGTTCTTTCTTGTTCCTTGGCTGCTCAACAGAAACGAGAAATGAGATTCCATTCTAATGGGTCTATTTATTTCTAGTTAGGTGTAACAGTCACTGGCAAAATGAGGATTGGTTTCTAGGATCCTAATCTCCCATTATAAACTACAAATAACTCATATTAAGACTCCTAGTGTATGATAACAGACTGAACAACTTGACTAATCCTAAGAATGTCCAAAGATGTATGAAGACTCTGTGGATCTCACCGATGCTATCTGTGTATCAATGCTTACTCATACTTAAGAAGTTACTCTGGAAGATACACAGGACAATATTAAACATGTAGGTCTATCAGAGTACCTCAGCGATTCCAGAACTGTTTGGTTTAGAGATGAGAAATAGCTCTACATGCTCCCTGCTGAGCCACATTCAGAAAACACCTTGCTACCTGACAAGTTCCTGCCAGGCTGCATACCAACACTGGAACGGGCTCCCCAGGGAGGTGGTGGACTCACCATCCCTGGAGGTGTTAAAAAAACATTTAGATGTGGCGCTTCAAGACATGGTTTAGTGGGTTTAGCAAGCATGGTGGCATTGGGTATATGGTTGGTCTTGATGATCTTTGAGGTCTCTTCCAACCATAATGATTCTATGATTCTATGATTCTACGACAACAATTCTGCATAAATCAAAATCTTTATATTTAGAATTAAAAACAAAATTATGACTGAGACTTGGATCTTTCCTTCCTGTCTCTTCATTCCACTGGTCTTTCAACATGTAAACTAAAGGAGTATCTCCATTCACAATACTGACAAAACAGCTTTGTCCCCAGCTAGCAAAGGACTGAAGTACAGACACACTCAAGACAGATCACAACTCTCTATTCATCCAACCTCCTGTGCAAAGTCAATATATGACCTTTCTGATGGAAAAATAAATTAAAACATATAATAGATAAATACAGCATTATTTTTATAAGATAATCTTATCATCCCCAAAGAGAACAATAGAGATGGGGAGCTAATCCAGAGGTAGTGAAGTAAGGTCGTTCTGCAGGGAACCAGGCTGAGCCACCAATCTGAAGCACAAGGTGTGCACATATGCCCTTCTGAAATTTTTCTCTGCGTAGAATTATACAAGACCAAGTGACAGCTATAATTGTTTCCAGAGTACAGGTGACAAAAACATTGTCAGAACAGGGAATACATATGTTCCCTGTACTTCTCCTGAACTTCAAGTCAAGAAACAAACTCTTGTAAATTAAGGACTTTCTGGATCCATCCTTTATATTGCAAAATAAGTTACAATGTTTTTTCTCCTTAAAATTCTTCAGGGAAAAAAAATACTATAAATGCTACAATGCCACAACTAACCTTTCTAGATGTCTAGTTTAGACATGTAGGCTGAAGAGCATCAGGATAGATACACTAAAAAAATTGGAATTCTGAACTCAAACCATTTGAAATTTCACAATCAGAACCAAGGATAAGAAGACTCTAATCCCCTAAAGTATACCTGTATATGTGGTTAGCTTGGCAAATGAGATAAGGTCCTTGGTATACCCTGCTTTTGACTGTTCTCCATCCACTACAAATTGGTCTGAACTCTTGATTCTCTAAGTCTTATGTTTTGGTCTTGTTTTTAATTAGAATTGGGAGAAAATTTGTTTCAGTGGAACACGGAAAGTGTAAGCTTTTTTCCTGAACTAAAGCCCAGATTGAAGCTGTACAATGCTGAGGTTAAAAAAGTTTTAGCAGATACTCTGCTATGCAATCCCCACTTTCTGAAGTTGTTTCGGCCCAGCGGCATATTAAGCAGAAAAGTCCACCTAGTTTCAGTGGTCCTCCACACTCCCTGCTCAGACCAGAATTTTACATCTATCAAAGTGTGTTTTACTTGACTAGAATAAATCTGATTATATTCTTAAAACCTGGCACTTTATTTCCATTATGAAGCTCCAGAAGGTTACTTGTACTCCGGATGAACATATAGATTTTTATCCAGTCCCATGAAATCATTAGGTGGCACAGTGTTATATATAGCCATCACCTGGGCAACGTTTTCAAAAGAGAGACAAGTTCACACCTTTAGAATCACAGCCATTGGGAAAAAAAACATATCATTGCCTAAATTATGTGAGTTCTACCCATGGTAAGAAATTGCTGTACCATGTTTCCTCCCAGAAAGGGGAAGATAAGTCAAAAATAGAAAGCAATTTCTGGGGGGCAACAACAAGGTGCTGGGGTTATTTGCTTATTTTGTTTTTAATGTCTTCAGGGTATTAAGCCTCAAATAAAACGTCAAAGAAAACTGCAAGGCAACTTGATGATAATGGGAAAACCCTTCTCTTGCTCCAGGAGATCCAGAGAAGGCAAAAAAAAGCTAAATCAAAAAATGAGACCCTAAAATACAAAGCCACATAGGTATCAAAAGCTGGAAACAATAACCCGTCTGTATAAGGGAAAACACTAGCTGAAGGAATCTATTAAAGTAAAGCCTTCTTTTAGCTCCTTGAATAGAGTAAATATTACATTAAAAAACAGACGTCAGCTTGTGGACTTTATAAGGGGCCATATCATTCTTCACTGGAGTAACAACTATGTAACTGCTGTGAAAACAGGATCTTGATACTACACAAGCCTGCAGTATAGACAAAGTATTATATAGGCTTTGACACTAATTTGGACAGGCTCCATGCCTTGGTGGAAAGTGGAACTTATGACTTCATCCTAAATAGGACTTAATGGAGTTCTGCAAACATTTGGACCATCTGAACCAATCAAAATGAAACAGAATAAAACAAAGTATTGTGTGCACAGCTCAGCTGATCCTGAAAGCTTTTTTTGGAATCCTGGGAGACCTGATCCATTGGGCAAGCTGTCCTCTAGAGAGCAGAGACCTTTAGTGGACGCCATGTCAGTGGGACAATCATTTGCAATACAAAGACTGCCATAACAGACAAAATCAGAATTATAGACCACTCTCTTCACTGCAAAACTTTCTACAAAGGAGTACCAAACACTGGTGTTACCAAAATCATGTGGAAATGCCAGATATTCATGGCTGAGTGGATCATGAAAATGAAATATGCTGTTTATATGGTGAGTGCTTCTTTCAAGATGGTTTCAGTCTTGAAAGAAACAGCACAGGGAAAGCCTGAACAGTAACTGTTTGCATTGAAGCTCTTTTGTGGCAAGCACTGGGTTTCAGTTTCCAGTGATGACACATTGGTATTTTCCTCTGCACCAAACAGACCCCAAACAATGTTAAGCAGTTCTCTAGAGCATGTCCTGAAAAACTGAGCATGCCAAAGCATTCGTAAATATATCCACAAAATTAGCAACTTTACAAGGTTTCTTTCCTGTGGATGGAGACAGGGAGACATATATGGTGACATGACAATTAGAACTCATCCAGGAAATCGCTGGCAGAGCTAGGAACAGACACTGATCTGACACTGAATCTAGCACTCTTTTATTTCCACCATCATTTATATCAGGTTGTTTTTATGCCATGGAGACAAATCCCAACTCCCTGGGACCAGTAGGTGCTTGGCATCCCTGGGCATCCAACCATTACATGGACTTTGCCACTACCTGCACACATGCCCCTGTGATAAATTGCCAGGGCTGATGATTCACCAAGCCTTCTAACAGGCAAACTAAAATAACGCTTCCTTCTTGAACTGATGCATCAAGAAATACACCATATGTTATGGGTGTCATACGACAAGCATGGGTACTATTCGGATGACATTTATTGATTGGCAACATGATTTCCTTCTCAAACCCATATTCTCAGAACTGCAGACAGCTGATCTTAGAGCTTTGCGCTGTTCAGAACAGAATGGGAACAAGGCACATACCTGATGCTGCAAAATGTGGGTTTAAAATCTTTCTTGGACAAGGAATCATGATACCAGTCATCGAGCTCACCTCTATATCAATAAAACTGGTGTGCAAACACAGATGAAGAATGTAAAATGAGGCCACTGTGATATAAATTTCAGTTCCAGCTTGTTCACTGGATCGTGTCTGAACACTGCATGCTCAAGTTTATTCTTGGGTCACAAAGAACTGCA